AGTTTAAGAAAAAAGATTTTGACATTTTTCCAAAAAGAGAAAAAGTCCAAATAAAGTTTTTGCCTTCATTTTTAAATGAATTCATTCATAATTTTATTTATTTACTTGTGAAAAATGAGATAACAAAGATAATAAAAACATTTTTTTTCAAAATACAGTTTATTTAATTGTTCTACTTGGGGCAGGGATAGCTCAGTAGGTAGCGTGGGGGCCCCATGATCGGAAGGTTAGGGGTTCAATTCCACTGAACGGCTACACTGAGGTACACCTGAGCAGGGTACCGTCCCTACACACTGCTCCCCAGGCGCCCAATGGCTGCCCACTGCTTCACTAAGTAAATGGGTTAAATGCAGAGAGGAATTTCCCCACGGGGATCAATAAAGTAAATAGTGCATTATTATTACATTATCATTAATCTGTATTAGGAGTTTTATTATTGTACCCTTTTGTGACAGATTAAAATTTAAAACAATATTTTTTGTGCTGTGCTTTTTTCTGGGAACAAGACTGTCTGGATTTTCTTTTTCAAAGTCATAACCCACCGTCCTTTCAGTGGAATAAAGATTTGGTCCTGTTTTAGCATTTTGAAGCTCTAGTTGGACAGCAAAGTGGGGCCACGCAGAGGTTAGAGACAAAGTGACGCGAGTGTGAAGGCTCTGCAGGAGGTTAATACTTTGTTTCAGCTTGCTGCTATTTGTTTTGGCAAGCTGTACATCTGTTTTGACTTTGATTTTTGTTTCTTTGCCTCCACAGATAGCTGCTCTGCAAAGAGGAGGAGACAGCTTCCCACTCATAGGCGCCTCAGGCAAAGTGCTCGGAAAGGTGCGGCAAAGGACAGATGCACAGAAAATAGAAATAAATACCTCTGACAAAGGCGTTGTCTTGTTGCTGCTGACTTCAAAGAAAACCCTCGCTGCCGAAAGTCAAACGCAACAAATTTTTTATGATGATCACAACTGGAGAGCGAGATGGATGCTGAAAAGTTACAGCAGACTTCTGTCTTTGAATTCAGGCACTGCGAAGCTCTGACAAGAGCTCGAAGCCAGTGTACGTGTCCGTGGGCCACAAGATCAGCCTGGACACAGCTGTCCGCCTCACACACGCATGCTGCCGCTACCGGGTCCCTGAGCCAATCAGACAGGTGGGCCTACGTGCACACACACACACACACACACACTGTAAAAGTGCATTGAGCCATCATGAGTGTTCAGCAGAGCAGCTGCAGGAATGCTAGAAGCCTTTTTTGTGAACAGCAGAAACAAAAGTTGAACTTCTCATCTTAGAAGCAGAACACTGTTTCAGGGAGCGAGCAGTGCTCACCACTTGTGTAACAGTGTCCTGCTGTGAAGCGAGGAGGTGTGAGCATCACGCTATGCAGTGCTTTATTGGCAGCAGGGCCTGGGAGACATGTAAAAATGGAGAGAAGAAGAATATATGCAGCCAAATTAGGGATGTTCCAATTTTGGCTGTATTTTTATATGAATTCCAGCCCCGGCGCAGAAAACTGTGCAGACAGTTTCAAACGATGAGATGATGCCGGCTGTCAGACGCAAGTGCAACAAAGCTATAGTGTGACACTGAAGATATTTTTAACTGCAAGGCAGACAGGATGTTCGCAAAGGTGGAAAGTATATGGTTCATACTTTGCTATTATATTTGGGATGCACAGAAATGAATGGATGATGAACAGAGTGAACTTTTTTAATTAGACCAATGATATTTGACTTACTTTAGACGTTCCCTATGACCAACAACAAGTAAAAGCTCTTTTATTCGACTAAGAGCCACGTAACCATGCTTTGGTTACTTCAAAAAAACCTAAAATCAGATGTCTAATGACAGCTCTGTAGTGCCACCACATTGACACAAAGTGCATTGTACTTACAAAGTGAGCCTTCGTAGATCAAAATATGCGCTAAATTATCTTTTTAATTCAAATTTTAAATATTTATGTATTTAAATATTCTAACTGAGAGAGAACATTTTCATTTTAATTATTATTGTAATTTTTGATATGTTAAAATACTTTTTTTTCAAATACTTTTCATACTTGATATAAAAATTAATAAAATAAAATAAAAAGGCACAAATATTACAGTTGTTTTGAGCATAACTGGTATGTTATCTGTTGCTATTTAAGTTTTTTTAAAGAGTTTCCTCCTGGTTTGTGAATATTGAGTCTTTCGCTAATTATAGATGCAAAATGATACATTTGTATAAAAGTGTGCTCCCCTCACCACTAGTCAATTTTCTTCCTCCTTTACTTTGCAAAGGTGAGACGCTTCCATCGCTCCTTAAAGTGAAACATAAATGCAGTTTAAGCCAGAGTGCATTTTGTTAGCTCTTCTCAGTGTTTCAGTTGAGCTGCCACACTGCCATGAGGCAACCAAACCTTTGATTAAATGTTTACGGAGGCTGGAGGTGTGTCCACAATCACCATTTTTTTAACCTGATTTCATCTGTTTTTCCTTTTCTGATAGACATTACTGATTTCCCATGAGCCCTCTGCACTGATTGGTTTTGGTTTTAAAAATGCCACCGATAAAAAATATTTATGCGTGAAGCTCAATGTGCTGTTGATTCCTTTTGTTTAACTGCAGCCCGCAAAAAAATTTAAGACAACCCAATAAAGTGAGCTGAATTGTTGCCCAGTGGTGGCGATTAAGTTCACTATGAATTTTTTAGTGTCCCTTTTCTCTTGTTGCTCAGCTATATCGTACTCTGCCTCCTGCCCAGTGCATGCTGGCACTGTTAACAGGGTAAGTTGGGATAGAAAGTTGAGTGCTTTTTTAAATGCCTTAAAAGTTTTACTCACTACATAAAATAGCAAAAACAACCACTAAATGTTTTCCTGAGGAAGAGGAGGAACAAGCTTCACCTCATCTTTTTCTTTCTGCCACTAGGCTGTGCTGTGCTTCTGCAGTGCACCATATGATTACTGCAAGCCACCTGACTGCACTGTAAACACACACTCACACTCAAAATCAGTTTTATCAGTTTTTTCACCAGGGGAGCTGCAGTAGCAGCGGCTAACTCACCTCCTCCTGTGTGTGTTTATTTCATCAAAGTGTTTTAGCTGGTGGGGAGAGGGGCAGCCGGCAGCAGCAGGGACTGACTGTGGACATCAGAGAGAAGCAGGAACAATCTTACCTTCCTCTGTCCAGTCACCGGTGCCTCCCTCTTCATCCTCCTTTCTTTGCCCGACTGCTCTGCTTTCAGTCTCTGACATCCACATTCCCTTCTGTGTCTCCCAGCATTGCCCTCGTGTTCTCTCCCGGCTTCTGCCACAGGTACTTTCTCCTTATAGATCCAGCTGCGATGTTACGTCCAGAGTTCTGTTTGCTCTCGCTCCTTCAGGCTTTTGAAATCACAGTCACATCTCATGAAAACAGCAAAATCAAAAAGAGATCAACCTGACAGGAAGACTGAATAACTGAATACGTTTGACAGGTTTTTGTGTGCAAATGTTCATCGTGGACAAACTAAAAAGATGCAACTATATATAACTACCCACACTTAAACAGATTCTGTGTCAGTCCCACACTTGCACATACTTGGTAGGACTCCACATCCAAAGGTTGCTTGGCTGACCATCTAGTAAGCCTCTTGTTCTGCGTCGGCTCCACCTAAGCTCCAGCGAGAGTGTTTTTGCTTCCTTGTCTCTTTACCTTTGCTGATGTTGAGCAGTGGGTTATTCTCTGTGTACCATGCTGTAAGATTATTGATTTCCTCTAGATATAAATCCTCTCTTCCTCTCATCAGTGTTTATAATCTCACCAGAACGGTTGCGCTCTCTGCAGAGTTCACGATAGAGTTCTCTCTGTGTCTCTGAACGCAATCGTGGGAGAACGGTGTGAACAGGATGAGGCTGAACACTCAAACCTGCAGGTTTGTGGTGTGATGCTCCTGTCTGAGGAAGTCCAACATCTAACGTCAGATTGTGGCGCTAAAGGCCAAAGTGCTGAGTTGAAATCAACAAACAACATACAGATATTTGTGCCTTGATTTTCAAGGCGAAGTGGGAGGAAGTGGAGATCTGATCCTTTGATGGTTCAGCCTGACTGAAATGTTATCTTTAATGTACTGGGCCAGACATTTAAACCATTATCTTCTGCTCATCTCATCTCGTCGGGTTGCTGTAACAGCAGTTTAAACAGGGTATTCCAGATGTCCTTCTCCCCAGCATGGGTTTGCAGTAACTCTTAGGGGCTCCCAACAATATAATCTCTCCAGTGGGTTCCAGATCTTCTTCTGGGTCTTCAAAGTGCCCAACAAAACCTCCAAATGGAGGTG